AATGGAAAGCCACACGTTCACGTCCACTCATGAAACTGAAGACTCCTTCAGCACTGTTATACGTGTAACGGTGTTATAACTAAGAATCCTGAGAGCAAAGTTCTCTGTGTCCTGGCAAAGCTGATATTTCCCACTCAGATTTAAAAAAAAAAAAAATTTATTTAAATGCACCAACCATCTTTAGGAAGTCTAATATGTTTTTCCATCTGAGGATCTGGGGTGTCAGCCAGCCAGACTCGGTCATAGCAGTTTTACACACAAACAGAGCATTCTCTGCGCTGAATGCTGTTAGTCATCCTAAACCAGGCTCTGGAAGCCAAAAATGCCGTCGCTCTCATAAACAGGAAATCAGTGGTTTTGCCACATCACAGCTGGCTCTGGAATTCCTCCCCCGGTGAAAAGCTGTATAATGGACACATACATTCCCAGGAGCAATTCAGTCCAAAAAGTAAATTTGCATCTAAGTGGCTTCTGGTAGCTTGAGACTGTGCACTAGCCATACATCAATTTAAAAAGGGAGTGATTCAAAGTGGGGTGGGAGGTTAAAAAAAGATCCTAGGGCTGCAATTACCTTCATCATCTGGTAAGCATTTGCTGGGTTGATACTGTCTAAATGGGCACAGGAACATAGGTCTTTTCTATTTTTTCTCCTGTTAAATACACCCCTAATCCTAACAATGCAGTATTAATAGCTGTTTATAGATGGAGACTATATTAATGCCACCACAAGTTCAATGTTTACATAAAGACTTTGTTCAGGAACTCTATGCCCAACGAGACTCTCTTAAAAGCCGCTGGAATTTTTCAAAAGATGGCATACACTAGAAAAGGGATTTTCCATATAAATCACAAAAACAGCATTAACAGGAACCCAGTATAAACAGGGCTGGTGCGTCCAATCCCTTCAATGGTGGCCTTGTTGGCTCAAAAATAACACCAGCCTCTTTGGGGAATTCCAGCGGTAAAAGTAATTCTCTCCATGAAAAGTCTTTACACATGATATTTCCGCTCAAGTCAAACACAGCCTATAGACATTCCCTCTGTTTCTACTGCGGATAACAAGAACCGAACTTCAAACCCTCAGAGGCAAGAATCAAATAGTCATTCATTTCTAAGGAAACAGAGGAACTTAATATTGAACACTCATCGATTCTGGACGCATTCCAGTCTGTTCGGCTCCTCCCAGAGTGTCAGAGGGACATCACAACCAGGCCCGTGACTGTTGGAAGTTCTTTGCTTCTCAGCGAACTCAATTTGCTGAATGGGACAGGGTCCCCTGAGGGTGGGCTGAGGAACAAACGAGGTGAGCCAGCAAGTCAACTCGCTGCATTCTGAGCCACCAAAGAGGACAGTGGTAGAAGTTTGGATATATAGCCCCTAATGGAGAGAATAACAACACACGAGCACAGTAGCTATCATTTGCTACAACTTTACACATATTATCTCATTTAATGCTCAAAACCTTGGCACAGAAGGGTTCAGAAAAGTCTAGTTCCTGTGCTCAGGTTCGGCTCTACCTCCCTTAGATGAACAGCCACCACCACGGGGCCATGTGAGCGAGCACTGGTTAACCATGGAGGGATCCACACGCCCTGCAGGAGGCTCTCTGACAGCAGGATGCAGGAATTTGCATTTTCACAAGCTCACCATCAGGAAGTAGGAGCAACATTTCCCTAAACAGTATACATCTCATTGAGTCTCAAATGCCAGGGGATGCCTCCTTTCTAGAAAAGCATGGAACCCAGTCACTGCCAGGGCTCCTTGGCAGTGTGACCAACACTTCTTTCAGTCAGGTATATAAACAGTAAGAAGGGGTGTGGCTTTTTTGCTTAAACCTGATGAAGAGTCTAAAGCTAACAAATGTCGATTTCTGGATACCTGACCAAAACCCAAAATAGACCCAAAGCCCTGAACTCGATGGAGCTTATTCCCAGAGCCTGACACGTTTTAAACACCCAATAGAGGGCAGTAAATACTCAACTTGGAGAGTCAAGATATGCCCAGAACAACTGTTTAGGGGTTTGCATTCAGATCCCGGGCGTGGACCTACACACAGCTCATCAAGCCAGGCTGTGGCGATGTCCCACATACAAAACAGAGGAAGATTCATACAGACGTTAGCTCAGGGACAATCTTCCTCAAGCAAAAGGAGGAAGACTGGCAACAGATGTTAGCTCAGGGCCAATCTTCATCACACACACAAAAAAACAAGCAGGTCCTCCCTGCCAGATAGCCAGCTGTTTGGTTTTTATTAACACGCAGAGGATTATCTTCTCTAGAAAACAAAACGGGAAAATCTCCCTTCTTTTCAAGCACCAGGCTGACTTCTGGTAATGCCGAGGGAACGTGAAATTTAGGGAAAGGAGATTCTGAAAGAACCACGGCTAAGTATAATTCAAAGTAGTATGAAAAAAATTCCAAAGTCAGTTAAATTGTTTTATCTGTGCAATTTTTCATTTTTTTTAGCAAGAAAATGATTGCTGTTTTCTAATTCATTGTGAAAGCAAATCAAGGTCATTTTTAATAAAACGTTAAGCTACACAGGAGGGGGAAGAAGAGAACTACGTTTTCAGAATTCCTGCCATGTAAGGAGCTGGGCGGGACACGGGCAGACATGGACTCCCTCAACCTCACAGCGACCCCCTGGGCAGGGTGCAAGCCCCATCTTCCGGATGAGGAACAGAGGCTCAGTGTCTTCATTTGGGTTCCCCAGAAGCAGAGTCTGAGCCAAGTACGTGGGAAGAGAAGTTTATTTGGAAAGTGATCCCAAGAAACTCAAGTGAGGGAATAGGGCCGGGGAGACTGGAAAGGAAGAAAGCCCATACAAGGTGTGAAAACGAGGTTGCTGTGCCCACAGGGCTCAATTCCCCGGGGCCACTGAAGAATTGCGGAATGCACCTCAGAACTGTCTCAGCAGGGTATAAGGAAGCTGGGGTGTCCACTATGCCCATACATCCCTGGTTGACAGCTGCCCCCAAGGTGGCACATGGGTAAGGGACAGGCCAGGACTCGAACCCAGGACTGACTCGAAGCCGGAGCGCTCATCACCACCCCACCCACCTCTCGGTTTCCACAATGCAGGCTTTCCGTGTAATCGAGATATGATGCACAAATGAGAGACTGGCTCTTCTTGCTCTCTTTCATCTTTCAATGTCTCACCTACTCCCCCCCCAGTTTCTTTTCCCCCAACCTTAAAAATGAGCAGACTTCTTTCTGAGATGTTCGCTCACAGGCACTTAACTTCCTTTGCAAGCTACACAACCACTTCGAAAAGGAAAAAATTAAATTCCACATTTGCAAAGGGTTTGGGGAAGCAGTGTATCGTGGCTGTTTTGTTTCCAACACAAGCACATTACTATGGAACAGTCAATGAGACAGACAGCACAACCCCAGGCAGATGTGGCGGTGCGCTCGCTGGGGAGAATGATGCAGCCCCGCAGGGCACGCAGTCTCGCCAGGAAACCCGGGAGTGGTCAGCGGCTCTCTCCTGGCTGCTGGGAAAGCGCCATCCGGGAAAGGAAGAGCAGCTGTGTAGGTACCCGGCCACAGTCAGACTAGCTAAGCCTTCTGTCTACACAGACATCGGTACTCCTTAGGTAAGTTATAAAGGTCTCTATCATCAGAATGGCTCCCTAGATAAGTAATCAATAGTTACTAACATACCCAGGACCTCCTCTGACTCCGTTTCCTTGCAAAATAAATAAATAAAGTGGTTAAGGGACCTGCTTGATCTTTATTTTAAAAAAAGGTAAATTTGCCACTTTTGCTGCTTCTATAGAAATTTATTTCTGCAAGTACCAAAAGTGTCATGAGTCTGCAGTGATTTCTTATCATGATAAAATACACAGAGATGTAAGAGGCAGTGAATGCATCCCTCAAGAATAATGAATCCAATGAATGGATGCACGCATGTGTCATAGGAATACTCAGGGCTGTAACAGCAGCCCGGGGTGGCTGAATCATGGCCCTAATATAACCAAGTAATTAATTAGTTCCATCATAATTTTTGTTTTATGACACTCACTTTTATATGCCAATAGTCGATTTAATGGTATTTTAAATTGGAGCGAAGCCCCCAGAGAGGAGGAGAAAGCATTATGTGTCTTCCTGGATCACAAATCTTATAATCTGATTTTTTAATTCCAAAAATGACGTAATAAACTTGCTTTATAATTAAATCTAGCCTAACAACTTCTCTTTTGTGTTTTTCATTCATTTTTGGTAATCGTGCAGAGATTTCGATTGGAAATCTGTTATCATTGTAATTAAGCATAAAAATTACTTTGTGTGCTTGTAACATAACGACCCTCGGGGGCTTGACCAGCTCCCTCCAGGAATACAGAGAAAAATTACAGGTTTCCAGTATCGGCTGGAGACTCTGATTTATTTGACTGCCATACATGAAACACGCATGAATGATAAGCTCAGAAATTCAAACTTTCAAATGATCTCCTCACATGGAAATTTTACCTTTAGAAAAATAAACTGTCGCACAACTTTTCATTTCTAGGCTGTCACAAAAGTTTAAAAGCCCTGGCCTACGTTAAAAGTTTGCAGTTAATTGACAAAGTAGTACTTAATGAAAGAGGTGAAGAAGTGAATTATGTCAACTATCCTAAGAACCCAAGAGATTACGGTAAAATGTTTTTGCCTTAGATTCAACAGAATAGAAAATCAACTTTGCCATTTATGTTGGCTTTCATCTGCCTTCAATCACAAAGCAATTACAATGCTAAATATCCTAGGTGATTTTTTGGATTCTGCAATTTTAAAGAATGTTATTTTGTACAAAAACAATTTTGTATTTTCATGAAAGTGTCGTAATTACTGAAATGCATGGAATTTCTATCAAATCACCTTGGCTGGCATTTGTGTTTTTCTCCTAATAAATGAGAAAACATTCTTTGAACAGCTTAAATAAGTTTGCAAGCAAAATCACAGCCTAAAAATATTAGTTGTTGATTGTAGCAGTTAAGAAGGAAGAAAGAAGAAAGACTGACCATTTGTTGTGTTCTTTTTAAAGTTATCCAGGAATTCCTCCAGAAGTTGGGACTGGTTAGGAGGGGGCAACAGACTCTTCTGGTCCCTTGAGGACAGGTCACTGTCTGACCAGGAAGAACACAGGGTTCCTTTTGTGTCCGGCGGCCAGGCAATCAGAGTGAGTCCAACGCTCTTCTCAGAAAACAGGGCCTCCATCCGCTTAAGGTCAAGATCACAGACGGCTTCCCCATTTAAGGTCATGATTTCATTGCCCTTTCTCAGCCCTGAGAACAAGGAAGGGGAAACAGCGCAAGAAAAAAGAGAGAGATTACTGCGAGAAATGTTTTAAGATGAAAGATGGCTGCAAACGCAAACCAGGTGCTCTTAGGGACCGTTCTGTTGCTATCTTCAAAGAAAGGGCCAAAATGTATAGTATTTAGATGCCACTGGTAAAAAAACCCAAATTCCAGCTCTCTCAAGGTTATTATTAGAGGGAGTAGTTTGAAGGGGAAACAATTTGAGAGCCATCCAAATTAACTGTTCCTCTATTTATCTGATGTTAAATGTCCCGAGAAATAACATTTGTTTTATCTGTGTCTGCCTGGCTGGCTCCCACGTTCTCTTTCTCCATCCATCTGTACATATGAATGTATATTCTCTCTGTGTATGTACATACTCTCTCTCAAAACACACACACAAATACTCTCCCTCTCTCTCTCTCTATATATATACATATGCATATGCATTTTCAATTAAACTATTAAGTTTACTTTCTTTAAAATTCTAGGAGAAACCATTTTCTGACAAAACTGTAAGAAGAAAATTTCACTAGACAGCCTGTACTCCCCAGTTTTGAATTAAGAGAGAACAGAGACACTCTGTGCCACACGAACCTTCCCCATATGCCAAGCCGTCAGGGAGGACGTCGCTTATAAATATTCGGCTGAGACGTTGATGCTCGTCCACCTGTGCTGTCACTGCAAAGCCTGGGAATGAAAATAAAAGGGAAAAACAAGCCTAAATTCATCATGTTAATTAATTTCTCCAACTGAATCAGCAGTATTTCCTTGAACATCTATTCTCATAAGTACGGTATGTTGAAGTTGAAAAAGTCTAAATTATAACAGTTCTGAAAGCACAGATATCTAGCAGGTGCAGAAAAAGAAGAACACATCAGATTTAAAGCTTTAAGAAATATGAGTGCAGGGGCCGCCCCGGTGGTGCAGCGGTTAAGTGCGCACATTCCACTTCAGCGGCCCAGGGTTTGCCAGTTCAGATCCCAGGTGCGGACATGGCATCGCTTGGCATTCCATGCTGTGGCAGGCATCCCACACATAAAGTGGAGGAAGATGGGCATGGATGTTAACTCAGGGCCAGTCTTCCTCAGCAAAAAGAGGAGGATTGGCAGCAGTTAGCTCAGGGCTAATCTTCCTCAAAAAAAAAAAAAAAGAAAGAAATATGAGTGCAGAACCTGATTCAAAAATTGAGACCATATACCATGTTTAGAGCAGCACTATTCACAACAGCCAAAAGGTGGAAGCAGCCTAACTGTCCATCAACAGATGAACAGATAAACAAAATGTGGTATATACATACAAAGAAATATTATTCACTCATAAAAAGGAAGGAAATTCTAATACGTGCTACAACACAGACAAACCTCGAGGACACTGAGCTGAGTGACATAAGCCAGTCACAAAAGAATAAATACCGTATAATTCCACTTTTATGAGGTACTTAGGTCAATTCAAAGAGACAGAAAGTAGAATGGGGGTTGCCAGGGGTTGGAGGGAGGAGAAATGAGGAATTCCAGTTGTGCAAGATGAAAACAGTTCTAGAGATGTTAATGGTTTGCACAACAATGTGGAAGTATTCAGTGTCATGGAACTAGCATTTTTAACCATTCTTAACAATGGTCATGATGGTAAACTTTGTGTCCTGTGTATTTTACCACAATTACAATTTTTTTTTAAGTTGAAACCAAAATACACTCTCATTGAAGTAAACTAAATTCAGTTCAATACAAAATATTTGTTAAGAATCAACTCTACATGAGGTCAGGCACTCTCAGTGGGTGGTAAAATGGATGGATACAGCGTTTGCCCTAAATGTGACTCCATGGGAAACTCAGGACAGCTCTGTCCTTCTCTAAATGCATCTCCCTCCTCTCTGATTCCACAGTTGGGAGCACATGCTTCCCTGTCTTGGTCCCATTACACTGGGAGTTCTTTGGCAACAGGAAGAATGGCATGTTCCCCTGTTCCTCTGTGCCTCAGGCAGAGCCTGGCAGATTGTGGTCACCAAAACATCTCTTTGCAAGTATCTTCATCCAGTCCTTCAGTCACTCAAATACAAAGAAGATTCACAAATGGTGACGACAGACAGTGGAGTGAAGGCCAACAGAAATAGAGAGGACATGCTCAGAGCGCTTCAGAGGAAAACCCAACGCAACACTGGGGTCAAAACAGATTATTTAAATTAAGAAACAAAGAACAAGTCAATTATATCGATTTTAAAACAAAGAAACAAAGAACAAATCATAAAAAGGAAATCTTAACATATTGTAAACGACCACTAGAATTTGATCAGCTTGAGTCATTATAAGGGAAATAATTATATATCAATATATTTAACAAGATAAGAGATAGCCTTTCTATGGAGATATTTATTGATCACTATCGAATTATTGAGTTCCTACGGTAAAAGACAATGAAAGATAGAAATGAACTTTAAGACATGAGCACAGTCTATAAAGAGCTCAAAACCAAGTTTAAATACAGACAACAGAGATGCAAGAAGTAAATACAGTCACGCATCACGTAACAATGGGATTACGTCCTGAGAAATGTGTCGTTAGGCGATTCCATCGTTGTGCGAACATCACAGAGTTGTACTTACATGAACCTAGATGGTACAGCCTACTACACACCCAGGCTCTATGGTACTGATGTTATGGGACCACCGTCATATATGTGGTCCCTCACCGACAGAAACGTCGTTATGTGGCACACAACTGTCCTACAAACTGATTTGGGTAACACTGACCCTTAATTGTTAAACTGAAGCTAAAGCAATCAGAGAAGGCTTCTTCAAGAAAGTTAGACCTTTAGTTAGTACTTGAAGGACAATGGGGTTTATGCAATCAGAGAGGAGGGGGTGGGGGAGGGGAAGCAGTGAAGGGTAGAATTCCAGGTGGATGAAGAGCCAAGAGCTTTTGGAAAAGCTAAGACACCGAGATGAAAAGAACTGTCATATGCATCATGAGTTAATCAGCTTAGAACTGAGCACACAGTAAATTCACTGTAGGTGTCATTATCACCATCATTTCAAATTTCTCGTCAATTTTTATATTCATTCCTTTCCATTCCTTTGGCATTTTGGCCTAGCATTAATACATATCTTTTTAGGCTGCCAATGTAAATAAATAGAAATGAAAGGAGACGATGGTCACAGTTTCCGAAATGTAAACGTAAAGAAAAAAGTTAGGTCCGAAGATCCTGTGCAAACTAGGCAGAGATGGACAGCACCGTTCTCTGAGCAGGGAGCTCTGCTTACCAAAGTCAGACACGCTCCCAGTCTTCGTGAGCTGCACATGATAGACATTTAGCGGAAAGACTTCTATTTCATCGTAAACCTACAAAAGGTAAAAACAACAAAATCAGAGGATCGGCTGTCAGGATACCTTGGAAATTTATTTAGATTGTGTCCAAACTGGATGCCAAATGTAAACAGTATTTTCTCCCCAAATTCCATATTTTTAAAATCAAGAGGCCATGGATGTGGTTCAAATTTCCCTTTCTAAAAGGTGACAGGGCACACGTGTGTGGTGATGGATGGTAATTCGTGTTTGGGTGGTGAATATGAAGTAGTCTACACAGAAATCGAAATATAATGACATACACCTGAAATTTATATAATGTTATAAACCAACATTGCCTCAATTGAAAAACAATTCCCTTTCTAAAGCAAACACACACTTGCCTGTTCTTGCATATATTCATACGGCGCAGGAATACAGCACTCAATGTTTTCGTCGACTAATTTTCGGAGTTGGAGGCCATAGTGGCTGGGCTCCAACTGCCTCATCTAGAAAGAAAAAGACAGTTATTCGGATTTTAAATGTTCTTTCTAAATTCATCACGGTTCATTAAAAATCGAAGTGGAGGTTTCTAAAGGAAATACCATATATAATTTGCTGAGTTTAAACCTATATAAGAGCTCGAATTTAAATGTGCAACAAAGGAAACAAGGGACAAATAATTCTTTTTAAGACTGTTTTCTCTAAATGATATTGCTTAACACGATAGAATATATCTTAACATCTCAGCAAATGCTTTCTCTTTATACATTGGTTGTACCTAATTGTACGTTGTTTCCCATTACTAAAGTAGAGAAATTTGTGAAATGTGAACAATCTCATATTCTACAAACTTCAGAATTGGGAATTTCCTACTCCAAAAACTTTTCAAAAGGAAAACGTGTACACATCTACACATTTTTTCTCTCTTTCTTTCTCACTCTCATTTTCACTCTTTCTCTCTCATACACATTTTCAACAGTGGGAAATGATCTTCTGCCTATGCTCTAACTGGGCTAATTGATCCACTACTTCTGACATCCTCTATCACTTAGAAAATTTATCAACTTAATAATAGATATCATTGGTATGAAACAATGTTGTTGGCTGCCTGAATAAAAACCTTGCATAATGGAGTAAAGAGAAATTAAGTTCGTAAGAATATAAGCAACATGTATAAATGTCTGGTATCCTAAGGCTTAAGTCAAAGTGACAAAGGAAGACTAATTAAATATTATCCACATCTCTTAAGTGTACATGGTAAAGAGTTACCAAACCCCACATGCTTTTTTAACCATTTCATACATTTGATTGCATTTTCTCTGAAAACAAATGTTTAAGCTCTACGACGCCATCTGGTGGTCTGAAAACATCTGCTCTGTTGCTGAGTCTATTTCATCTATCTCAGTGGTCTCTCTTTAAGACTCATCATGAACCTCCTTTTCAGAAATAAAACCCAGTTTAAATAAGGAGTAAAACATCATCTCATAACAGTCTCCATGAAGAACTGTGAATGATGTCAAGTGACTCATTTAATCCAGAGAAACTTGGCAAAACTATTTAGGATTAAATCAAACGACTTCAAAGTTTCTGCCACTTTCTTAGAGAGCACCATCTCTAAGTAACTCAAATAACAACAGACTTCGTAAGTATTCTAGATATAAAGGCATATATAGAATTTCAGGAAAACAGCTCAGGTTCTTCATGAAGGCAAGAGGTCACGACCTAAGGACTCATTCTCCTACAAGATGGAGGAGGAGAATGCTAATTAATAAATATGTTACTATGTCCCCCAGTGTAGAAAGTGAGGTCTTAAATACCACACACATACAGAAAGCATAGGAGTACAACATCAATGATTATGCAGAAGTATATTTCTGCAGCAAAATCCATTACCTTGCATGCCAAAGTCAAAATATCTTCTACTCTGTGTTCTGGCTTAATCACTACAGTAACTCCTTGATTATCCTGAAAGTGAATGTAAGTCTGGATTTCCCACGTGTTGTCTTGAGGAACACCATCTACTGTTGAGCCATACAGATGCAGAAGTTCATCCACCTGTTTTTAGATACCAAAAGAAAATGCAGATGGATGTGATAAACAAATGAGGGGAACTACTGAAATAACGTCCCCTTAATTGATGGCGTATTTTGTAGTAGGCCTGTTCATACTCCTCACAACCGTCTGGGGCAGACAAGCCAACCCGTCCTCATTCATTTAACCCACATGAAACGGAAGCTCGGGGAGCCTGAGTGGAAGTCACTTGACTCCTTGTCCCGGGCTCCAGCCACGATGCCCTTTGTCTCTCAGCCCAAGTTAGGACAGTGCAGTCGAGGTCAAGGCTGCTCGATATCCACTCTTCCTGCTCTAGAATTGTCGGTTGACAATTCTGCATCCAAGCCACAACTCCAGTTAATGTTCATACACTCTCATCCACGGCCACTGATGCCTGCCTGCAGCCTAACCCCACACTGCACTTAATCTAAGCACGTTTCCCTTCTCTCCTATTTCTACTTGTTTTTTAAAATCAACCCCTAATCCTGGGGACATTTTTTTTCTATTCTATTTCACATCTAGTCACTCTTTTAGAAATCATCCCCAAACACACCACCTTCAGGAAGCTTTTCCCAAAGAAGTTGAGTTTCCTGAACTTCATCCTCACAGGAATTCAATGACCTCATGCTAATATGTACTTCTATGACTTATAAACAAAAAGAGTTAACATTTATTAAGCCACTCAGAAATGTTTTTCCTCTGGTTAGGTTCTTGTATTAGTCTGGTGGTCAAGAAAATTCTTGGGGAGGCCGGCCCAGTGGCATAGCGGTTAAGTTCCCATGCTCCACTTTGGCGGCCTGGAGTTCTCGGGTTCACATTCCGGGCACGGACGTACGCACTATCATCAAGCCATGCTCTGACAGGCGTCCCACATATAAGACAGAGGAAGATGGCACAGATGTTAACTTAGGGCCAAACGTCCTCAGGAAAAAGAGGAGGATTGGTGGCAGATGTTAGCTCAGGGCTAGTCTTCCTCAAAAGAAAAGAAAAGAAAAGAATTGGGGATTGGAAATCAAAAGACCTGATGCCCAAGTCACAAACTCAACCACTTAACCAGCAGTAGGGTAGGACATGAACCTTGCTAAGCCTTGTCTCCTATTCTGTGAAAGGGGATATTATTAATAATTTTATTAATTAACAATATAAATTTTTGTGAGCAAAGGAGGCCCTCTATGTGAAAACACTTTATACAACAGACAATGTTACATATAGATTCAATACCATCACATTATTGTATCCCACTCATCCTACATTAAAGTTACCATTGATGGGTGATTTTACCTTGAATTCCATGTACTTTTTTTTTTTATATAAAAAACACAAGGCAAAAGATTCTTCTACACAAGATTAAGAAACTATAATAGATAAAGAAATTCAAAACAATAGGTTTAGGCAAAGCAAGGGAAGAATCTATCTTTCTGTGTTGTCTTTTTTTAAATGTGATGCTCATCTTTGAAGTGACATTTCTGGATCTGTCACGGATCTGTCACTTTCTGTACACTTTCCTGGAAAGATGATCACAGCCCAGAATGAATACGAACCTCACTTGCCAAAGAAAAAGAAAGAGACAGAAGAACAGGTGCCTTGAGTCAAGGATGCAGGGAGCCAGCACAGACACCATTTTCTCCTGAAGGGTCCTATCTCACGTGGACCGCACTTGCTTCTCTGGTTCAGCCTCCAGATACTTTTCATCTGGGCAGTCATTTCCACCAGGTGCATCAGCCACAAGCAGGCAGGCCTTAAAGGCGCAGCCCCACCTCTCAAGCCACGATTGCTCAGAATCAAAGGAAAACCCCAGCAGAGGTCACTGTAGAGTACGCAACCACACAGAGAGCCAGGCCCAGAGGAAGTCGAATGGACTGATTACTGCCACAAAGCTATTTAATTCTGCACTTTGTAGAGCAGCCAGGAAAAACGTGACTGAGGATGGACAGGTGGGGGAGGGACATGGGAAATACAAATTCACAACGATCTGTACCTGCCATCCTGTTCCCATCCCTTACTGTCCATAAGAGAGACTGTATGACACGGGGGCCTCTTCTGACATGCTGTCAGTCCCCTCTTTATTCACAACCCTCTGAGGTAGGCACAGTCCTGATCTTCTATTTAACAGGTGAGAAATATGAGGCTCAGAAAGTTCTAGAAACTTGCTCAAGCTCACACAGTGAGCTGTGACTGTGGTACTGTGGGGACTTGAACCCTGGAAACCTGGCTGCGAGGCTGTGCTCACCACCACTACACTACAGAAATATCAGCTTGGCAGTCACCTCCCCAGAAAATGGATGCAACCCAACTTTCTCGATTCCTTTCTCTTATTCTATGACACACCCCACGTTCTAGTTGGACAAAATGGCTCACCTGACATTCCTCACACTCTCCTGCCTCCAGGCCCTCATTCACTTCAATCTCCTCTACCAGCCTCACAGCTCCAGTGCTGAGACTATCTATACCCTTCAACCTTATTTCGAATTCTACCCCCTCTCACTCTGTCTCTCCTGCTGTCTTACCTCTACCCTCAGTTCCACTCAGTTCTATCTGTCTACTCTCTATGTCCCTGGTATAGCACTTAGCCAAGCCCAGCCCACCTGACAGTCATTTTTAGGTGCTCTCATGCCCCCGGGTGCTAAGAGGAAGGACAGCAGAGGCTCTGTCTTTCTCATTCTCAGCCTCCTTCAGCCCTAACACAATGCATCCTACACCCAGAACACACCCAATGCATGGGTGTTGAACTGATGCAACTAGATATTCAGTCATACATACGCTTGGGAGGTAAAACCTGTCCATTTTCAGGATGTTATTCAAATCTGTTTATACAGTGTCAAGTTCTTAATCCCCTCTAAAGTTTTAAGAACAGAAATTAACAGATTTTTGATTATTGAATTATAGATTACTAAGGTTACTGAAGGGGAAGAAGTCCTAGACAAGATAAAAGTATGTGGGTAAATGCAGAGATGGAAAGAAAGACCAAAGATATATTCATATCATATTCAACTAAACAAGACTTTGTGCCTACACCTGCTCTGAGGAATCACTTCCTGAGTCTACACTTGACCTAAGGTCAAGTGAATATAGAAGAGAAGATGCCTATCAAAGGCAAGGACACGGAAGATTCTGATCCTCTCAAGAGATCCTGCAATGAAAATTTATATGTAGTGTTTTCCTGTGCGTAAGACACACACACATACACATATTATCTCACAAATACATGCAATTAAAGAAAGGTAAAACCTGGTTATTCAAAGGAAGCATCATGAATGTGAACTGATTAATTAATGAATTACAACTGGAAAAAGAAAAGGCCATTTGGTGTTTACAGATCTCCCAGGTTGTTGTAAGCTTAACCCCCTTGGGCTGGAGAGAAAACTAGATTGATTCCTTCAAGGGTCAATGCTGGCCATGCTGAAAACACACAAGTTTTATTTTCAATAAGCCACATAAAACAATCTCCTACGTTCTTTTTCAAAAAAGGAACAGAGACTCTTGAAAATAAGCACAACAAATTGAGCCATCTGGAAAACTCTCTTCCTGGCTCACCCTTCTCAAAGGTGCTCCGTTAAACTCATCTTTTAACCGCTCACCCAGAGTCCATGGTGGCTACTTCTGTCAAGACTGTTCAAACCCTTCCTCCCTCCAACTCCACCTTGCCTGTTCCCCTAAACATGAGTTTCCAATCAGCCTGTTCAAGGTTTCCAGTTCCTGGAGAAGATAAACTGAGACAGCAAAAATATAACAGACAGACAATCTGGGTCAAATCCTAGCCTCGTCTGGGCTGGTTATCTAATGTCTCTGGCTTCGGTTTTTTTACCTTTAAAAGGGGCTAAAAAACACCAGCCTCACGGGGAGGTCAGCAGAGTGGTGTAAGGGACGGCATTTGAAGGTACACAAACTGGAAAGAGCCATAACAATATAAAAGAACATTTTTGAAGTTCAGGCTGGATGGTGGAATTATTTTGCAGAATTCACTGATGGCCACTGTGAAGAATTGCACGAGATTTATCCGTTGTTTCAAAACCCGGGGAGCTCTGGTGGCCGCTGACGCTCAGTCCCCGCCGCGGTCCAGCTCTGACTGGCCATGCACAAAATGGGAACAACATCCCTGAACTGCAGCCATGGCCGCTGCAGACTAACTAGTCAAGGTTCACAAGTCACTTTAACCCTCCTTGTAGGGCAACTTCTGCAGAAGCATTTATTACCACTATTCCATTAATGGTCCAGAAAGCACATGGCAAATTACTCACGCTCGGTGTGCCTCAAGGAGAGAAAATTGAACCTCCGTGTGTTCTCACAGCAGATGCTTTTGGATCAAACGCCTTGTAATTACTACTTGGATCACTGAAGGGAAGTGAGTAGCAAAAATCCCAATCTGGCTGTCACAAATGGGCCCACACCCCAGTTGCTGATAAAAGGAGAGTCGATTAGCAAGTGAGATGAGGAGAAAACACAAAAGGAGTTAACACCCTCTTGGTTTTCTTAACCACAGTCAAATGTCATAGAGGAGAAAGCGTTTATTTCCTCTTGGGCTGATGCCCAAACATCAGTTAATATGGAAAGAAAACAAAGACCTATCTATGCATCTGTCTATCTGTATGTGTGTTATGTTATGTAGGATTCCATATTAATATTCCATTTAAACAGACTACTATCTTATGGTTAAGAGTAAGTAGGTTCATTCATATTTTCCATTTAAAAAACCAACATTAGCAATTTTTTTTTCCAGTTTGGAGCTAATGACTAACGCGACAATACTTCATTCACTCGCTGCCACAGAAAGTTGGGACACCCCAAGCCAATTTTCCAGGAGAAAGAGCCAAGGCCCAGGGGCTTCACAGTTTCTGCAATGAAGCTTCTGGGTTAGCTGCCATCCCGAGCCTCAGTGGGGGATTTGTTGTCACAATCTCCACAACAAACACGTCCCTTCAAATGCTGATTGAGACTCATTATTACTCATGAAGAAGGACACTATGAAAAGCTTTCATTTTTGGCGAGCCAAAGTGTCCTTTGAAAAATGCTCAAATAAGACTGGCCTTATTCCAACCTTAACAGATTTCAAATTAGGGTGACTCACTGTTGGACTATGACATGATGCACCAATTAGAGTGGAATATTTTAAAATGCCTGAGACCCCCTCCCTCCCGAGGCTCAGGAATGACTGCTTTTCTGTGTTACGCTAGTGGACACAATATACTGACTGTATACAAATAAATGGTTTGTGCAAGTTATAAATATTCTCCAAGAATGATTAGCAGAGGAAAACAAGTGAAAAAAAAAAATTAATCATTCAACCAGCTACAGGCAGAATTTTAAGTCCCAGAGCTATAAAAAAACCAAATACCCTTAATTCTATTTACAACTCAATTTAAACCTTGTTATCTGAGTACTACAGTACAGAAATGATAAATACACCATTAAAATAGCCCAATAAGTCACAGGAATTTCTTCGGTGTCCATCTACCAGAAGCAATGCTTAGATAAAATAAACAGGAATAAATGTTTAAATGCATATGCTTTCAAAACCAGATGCAATAATACCTTCCTCTCACCTGTTACAGCACCCATGGGACTTGATTAAATCACAAGAAAATCATTTGGTAATTTGAGCCCAATTTAAATAAGCACTAAGCTTAATTCTGACCATTAATGGCTATTTTAGCAAAATTTATTTTCAGTCTAACATAAGTTCTGTTAATAGAAAGTGCTTTGATGATATAATTTCTTAACTTTCCAAGTAAGAATTTTAAATTATTTAATGCTGGGAGAGATACAACCTTAAAATTATGGGGTTTTATTGTAGATCAAACAGTTCTTCTCAAACACTAAAGACTTACCTCCAATGTAGACAATTAATAGGCAAACTTATTAAACAATACTATATCCTTAGCAGCGTGCTATGAATGGAGAATATATACATAATCAGAAGATATACATAAACTAAGCAGAGCAAGGGTCTTAACTGCAAGCTTGCCTGGGAGACAGGACACAGATATCTGGTAGGATGACTAACAGTAAAGGCTAGTAAGAACCAAGCAAATAACAGTGATATAATTTTTTTTTTTAATCAAGTAAAATGCCCAGAGGACAGTGTGATTTGACGTGGATTTTGAAATAGGCTCTGCACGTGTACAGAAATAAAGGGGAGGGAATGGAAATTATTTATTATAACAAGTCCGCCATTTTGATAGTATGATTTATAAAAAGGAAGGTTTGGTTTTGGCTTCCGTGTGGCCTCATGGTTGGTCAAATCCAGCAAAAGGAAAGCGCTGAGAACAGAGAACCAACATCAGCACCACGGCCTCCGGCCCAAGCTGTTCCCTCTCATTGCCTGCCCCCTCGAAGTCCTGACCTCTGCGAATGGGAGGTGAACGGGGAGATAGGGTCTCGAGGAGAAACTGCTACCCCATTTCAAGACACTTCAGGCAAAGATGCCCTTGGGAGCAGTTTCAACAATACCCATGGCCCACTGAGCAGCTCGGGGCCCACAGTTCCGGCCAAGCTCACCTGAAGGCAGAAGAGGCGGCTATGTTGCATAATTTAGGATCACCCCAAAAAAGTTCCTCACTCACCTCCCAGAGCCCATCACGCTGTCTAACCACCGTGCCTCAGTTTTTTCAAACTAAATTCACTGATTTCCCCAGTTAATTTATTAAATGGTACTGCCTGCCGCTGCGAAAGCATAAATTAAAATCAGGTTTCAACCTCAAGAAATAACTTAAGAGGTTGGTTGGACATAAAATCCAAGATAAACAATTTGGTGAAGAAGAAGATAGAGATAGAGATCAGTAACAGGAAACACAGCTTTTAAGGGGAAGCTGTGGGTTTGAAAAAGATACAAAGAAGAGGCACGAGCCCCTGCAGGCAGTCCACCCTACTCTAGAATTCCACTCAGAAATAGTCGTGAGGACGTGTTTGGTCAGGAGGGATTGTGGAGACTGGAAGGGGACCCTGTACTCAGCTCCACCGAGGGCACCCGGAGATGCACAGGCTGCGGATCCCCAGCACGGCTACACTATCTGTGTGAAGATTCCTGACAACCCTGAGACGAAAATGCAATTTTGGGTTCACTGAGCTGAGGAACAGGGAAGCATGAGTGAAAGTTGCTATTTTGACTTCAGTCACGTCACTAATTTTAAGATGGAGTTTAATTTTAAGATGAGTTTAGATACTTCCAAACATACTTGGCATTCCAAGAATATCTCTTATTTACCTAATAGGGACCATTTGAATTCTAATTTATTTTCAGCCGATTGATGTAAAGATTTTTGAACTAGCATTCCCCAATTAATGTAGCATTTGTGCTGTCAATGTAAAAACAAGATGGCGGCCACCCATGGCAAAGTTTACCTCACTGGAGTTATTGGAGTTTTGAGGTAGCTGAGTTCCAGAAAATCCGTGGCTGCCACTTGAATCAAATATCTGATAGACAAGGGGGGGAGAAAAGACTAATGAAACAGTTCTGCTGTGTTCATTTGGCAGCAATCCCTTATCAGCATTTAAAAATTTAAGTTCTATAACATGTTATAAGATCTTCATATCACAATTTGGACCATTTACTACTCTACCACATTTAAAGTTTTAACTTTAAAGAAAAAGTTGTGCTCTTGTTCTTCCCATACGGTTACATATTTTACTTTTCTGTGATGTCATATATTATTTGTCATCCTGGATCTTTCTCATGTTGCTTTTAAAGGAGAAGTACACATTTCTGAAGATGCAGAACACAGTTCAACGACGAGTTGGCAAAGCCACCAAAATCGAGCTTATACAACTATTTTTTTAAAGGTGCATAGAATAAATATTGGGGAGAAATATAGTTAAGTATTAAAAGTGGTTGTGTTTGGGTAGAGGAACTAGGAATAATTTCCTGTACTTTTTCCAATTCTTATCTTCTAGATTCTGTAGAATAATAAACATTAAAGAATAGGCCATTTAAACATTTATGGATACCTACTACATCAACTTCATTCATTTATATAAATACCAATGTTACAATTAGTTTCATATCATTTTAAAACAAAAACGTTCAACTAAATTCTTCTGTTTCTTAAGAAATCTTACATTAAGAATATTTACCACATATGATGGTGTAAAGACCATATTAGGCTTGTACCTAATTAGCTAAATGTCAACATTTAAGAAAAACAAGCAAGTTATCAAGCTATTTATCATTATCATTTAATTATATAGAGTTGATTCTCAATTAAAATCAGAATTTGCCTCAAAGATGTTATTTATACTTCACAGAAATTCAGTTCAAAAATATAAGCCCAGCATTATCCAATGATTCATATTTGACTACAATCTATAAAGAAGAAAAACATCTCCATTTATAACCAACAAATAAGTACTTTTCGTAATTCAAGTACAAGTAGAACCACCATTTTAAAATGTGATATTCTTTCCGATTGTATGAGTATACAAAACCAGTGGCCACACAAATGAGGTGTCACGTGGTTCTGCTGCCCTTTAGTCAACCAACCCACTTCCCATCGCCTTTATCGTTCCAGGGTTGCAAACAGGTCAAAGAAGTTGATATTATCCCTATTATTCACCTAATTCACGAAACTATTACACACAATCAAATAAATATCCATATAAAACGAGAAAACAAAGTTCCAGAAAATGTGACCCTCCCTTCCAGAGGATATTCAGAATCACAGAATATCAGAATAACGGCAACCCGTTAAAAGTAAAAACAAGAACTTCTTCGGACTTAATCTCAAACATTTTCCCTGTTCACTGAAATGAGCAGAGCATCATGTGATAACTCATCTTTTCAACAGTCTGAAAAAATAGTAATCCTAAAACATATCAATCAGCAACATAAAATTCATTGTCATCTACTGTATTAATAGCATCAGGAAATACTTCAGATAGGAGTATTCGAATGTTCTGAGAACAATTCTCTGCATGTGGGCCACATTTCAACAATGAGTGCTCAGGCTATTTTTACTCGAAAAAACGTTAAAACAGCCACCCTTCCTCTAGGAATAGAAACAGCAGCAATAGCCCAGTGTTACACGGCTTTGTATCTGGGTAGATCAAACCCCAGCCCTGCCCTGCGGCCACTGCATGAAGGGGGGTGGGGGGGGGACCAGGAAGTGACTTAACCTCTCTGGGTCTCAGTCTCCTCATCTAGAAAATGTGATGACAAAATGCCTACTTTGTGTCACAAAGATTAAGTGAGCCAAGTGTCTGGCACCATCGATAGAATTTAGGTGCTGTTACTCTATTATTAACTTTAATGTGCATTTTAATATAAACTCCAGAGGAAAAATAAATATTAGCTCTAAAGGCAATGAAAAGTGTGGCTTTTTTTCTGATCATTCTTATTTCTGTGTTCCCAGGCTCTGTAGATGTGAGCAAGGTATGAATACCTCTTTGGGAATGCCAAAAAGAGAGGGAGCAACTTGGGTGTTTCCTCTTGGGGAAAGGCCATGCTAAGGCCACATTCCTCTGAACCAACTTTCATGTCATCCTTAATGGGTGATGAACATCTAGGATTTGCTGGAGAGCAAGGATTTCCCGCCATGCCTGCTGTCCCTCCCATGCTGAGGAACTCGCCTGAGTTATAGAAGGTCTTTTCTCCTTTGCTTTTCTTGCCAGTGTATCCAGCCCTTTTAATGAAGAAAATATGCCCTTCTTGTTTCTTCCTCGCTGGGTCAGTGAGAGTTTTCTTTTCCGGAGAGCAGAGTCATCTCTAGAACATACCTAATTTAAAACACAGTTAAAAAAACATCTTAAGGCATATTATTTCGGTGATGGAGAGAATTAACAGAAGTAAGCCATGCTTGCTATAAATGTGTTCTGCCCAGCACCAAAAACTACTGCATTTCTGACATACCAGAAATGCATCCATCATCGAGACATCTCTTATCTGGATAACACAAGCTCAGTTACAACATTCAGATCTCTCCAGGGCGGACAGCAGGGTCGGCCAAACTACCCATGGACCCCCCAGGCTGAGCTGGGAGTACCCACCCACACAGGAGCGATTTCAGAAAACCCAGTGGGGATCTCTGAAGTAGATAAAAGCCCCCAATCAGCCTTTAATTTTCCACATCATTGTTGCTCCTCCTCGGGGGCTCCACCGTCCTGACTGTGCGAGGTGGGACAGACAGAAAGACAGATGCAGTTGCGAATATTTAATAACTCTCTACTAGCAGTTAGATTCCCAGACTTAAGCAGCAGAGAAGCCGGGACTCTCTGTAGCAGGATGCCTCCCACCCTCCTTCCCCCAGTGCCCGGCCCCTGGGTGGACCTGGTCAGTTAGTGGCTTAAGTCACGGAGCTGATGGCAACAAGCTCCAGAAAGATGAGCATCCTCAGTCCTCCCTGAGCACTGCTGACACAGCCCTCCTCGGGAACTTACCAGAGCGTGGAAAGAGGAAACCGACAAGACGCCCAACCTGCCGAGGGCCAGCTTGGAGGGGCGGCTGGCAGCAGCAAGGAGGCTCTTCGGGTTTGGCAACTCCCCACCTTGCAGGCTGGCCAGGTAGCAGCGCGTCCTGAAGAGATCCATGTGAAATTTCTCCAGGTTCTGCTCCCATTGCTGGATCTGTTTAAGCCAGAACAGCGGTAATTTGAATTAAAATGAGAGGTTTTCCTGGGTCACGTTGAAAATGCGATCCCTTTTACAAACTTCAAAGAAAAATGTGTTTCATCTGGTGTTGCCTGGTTGAAATTAGCCTTCCCTGCTCACCCCATCTCCCGCCCTCCCGCCAAAACACATTGGGGCAGACGGCAATGTACTTCATCAGGATGGTCAGAAAGGAAACAAAGCCGGTGGTCCCAACACAGTGTCACGCGAAACAGCACAACCTTTGGAGAACTCCAGCACTTCAAATCAAGCTGATTTAAGGCAGGATGCACAACTGCAAGTCAGTTATTTCGCTTTGTTACATTTCCTTCACATTCGCAGCCTCTGATCCTAAGCCAGATTAACTGAATTGCACACAGATGCTGAAGAAATGACAGCAGGGACTTTAACATTTCTGGACTTTCTGAGCAAATGACTCAAAACCAGAACAAGCAAATGGACTTCAGGGATAAGGACAAATAGAGCTTTTACTCCTGTTTTCCGTCTAACAGAGAATAACCACCAAGTCCACATCTGAATAAAATTAAAGCGTATGTAATTATTTACGCAACAGAAATTCCTATGCACATCCTCAAAATTGAAGTCATAAGTTGGTAAAGAAATACAGGCCAACTCTGGGGGCTACTCTCCTTTCTTCCAAGAATGTCAAAACATGTTATGGGTGCCAGCCTGGTGGCACAGCAGTTAAGTTCGTGCACTCTGCTTTGGTGGCCTGGAGTTTGCCGGTTTAGATCCTGGGTGCAGACCTACGCACTGCTCATCAAGCCACACTGTGGTGGCATCCCACATAGAGGAGTGACTTGAATGACTCCAAACTAGGATATACAACTATGTACTGGGGCTTTGGGGAGGGGGAAAAAAGGAAGATTGGCAACAGATGTTAGCTCAGGGCCAATCTTCCTCAAGAAAAAAAAACAGACATGTTATGTATAAGTATTACCTTCATTTAAAGATAAACTAATAAGTGAGGAAAGCCTCTAGTAACTTGCCAACACAGGGCTTCAGGAGCAGAACAGAAAGCTGGGCTTCAAATGGCATTGAGAGCAATCTCAGAATTCAAGAGGAGGTCTGCAGTGAAGGTTCGTAATAAAGATTCGGTACAATCTTTGTGTCATTTCATTTGCAACAATTGCACCGCTAGTTTTGCCACGTTTAGCACGCAAGCAGATCCTAGCCTTTCACAGTAAACTTTCCAGGTCAACTCTCGATCCTGGATAAATGATATTTTGAAGGATCTCCAACATTTAACAGTCTGCTCCCTTCAGTCTCTCCCCAGAGGAAAGCAGTACAAATTCTGGGGCTGCCCAGACCCGCTCCAAGTCCTCCACATCTATTTCTTAGGAAGGTCGCTGTACACCTTTATTAGTGATGTCATAGCCTACTGGTGTCAGCCTTGAATGAATACCAGACTGACCTGTTGGCTCTTAAAAATGAAGACGCCTAGGTGCCCAGCCTTCATGAGAACCACTGCTCTAGACTAACGAGACAGTTCAAACTGCAGCTGGAAATCTCTTCCCGGTCTTGCCATGCTAGAGACTTCTTGACTGCAGAAGGAAGGGATGGGTATTATGTAACGATAAACTGACATCTACCAGAAGCTACAAGCACAGCCAAACTAGGTTCTCATTCTATCTCACAAATGTCTTCTCTAGCTGATTCCCCAAAATCCACAATCATAGATGCACTCTTCTGTCCTCTAGTAATACGTAGATATTTCTAGATTGGGTCATCTATTAAAGCTTAGCCCTCGTTTATAGCTCCAGGTGAAATAGTTTATGAGACACTGTCTAGTGGTTCTGTTAGGGGTGGAGGCATAAGAGGAAAGAAAGCCAATGAGTCATTGGATACCAGAAGACAAAGAAACCCGCGCCATCCACAGTGCATTAGAAAGACAAACAATAAAATAAAATAAAATAAAATCCAGGTCTATGCCAATCACCATTATCAGGGAAGATGACAATCTCTTATATTTTCACTAATTCTGCAGTTTACATTGAAGACATCACTCAGTGTATTTACGTGACTACACAGGCACCACTGGAAGGTAAAGGCAGTTTCATCCTAAACGATGCAATCTGAAACATCATCCTAAACACGGGGAATCTTAAAATTTTGTCAGAAACACTTTGATAATCTTCAACACACCTAGACCTCTCCACCCAACACTTGGGACAACACACAGGTGAATTCGTAGGAAAAACACAGATTCAGAAGCTGAGGTTTGTTGGAGGGAAGAAGGGGCTGGGAGACCCCAACAGCCCAAAGCAGATCTCATCAAGGTCAAGAAGTTGGCTAACATACGTGATTACATTTTGAAAGAACTAGTATCTCAATCAGTATTGTACATTGTAGAGGTAATTTTCAAATTTAATTGAGTAGAAAATGCAAATGAGAAAGGGCTTTATGACTCCTCTGTTTCAACAATGCTCTTATCCGTATCCTGACTGACACTTTGAGATGGTTAATCCTATGCGTCAACTTGACTGGGCCCTGGGGCACCCAGCTATGTGGTCAAACATTATTCTGGGTGTTTCGATAAGGGTGTTTTGGGATGGGAGTAACACTTAGATGGGTGGACTGAGTAAAGCAGACTGCCCTCCACAATTTTGGTGGGCCTTATCCAATCAGTTGAAGGCCTGGACAGAACAGAAGGCTGACCGCCCCAGCCCCCCAAAGCAAGGGAGAGTTCCTCTTGCCTGATGGCCTTCAAATTGGAATATTGACTTTTTTCCTGCCTTTTGGCTTGAATTGAAATATCGGCTCATCTTAGGTCTCGAGCCTGCCAGTCTTCAAATGGGAACCACACCATCAGCTCTCCTGGGTCTCCAGCATGCTGACTCACTCTGCAGATCTTGGGACTCACCCACCTCCGTAATCCCATGAGCCAATTGCTTATAATAAATCTCTTTATATACATTTTTTCAGACATCCCATTGGTTCTGTTTCTCAGGAGAACCCTGACTAACACAGCATTTATCCCCATAGGTCTCTGTGGAAGAGTAAGCCATCATTAGTCTCACATCTATTCCATATTTAAAGACAATATTTATTTTGTTTTACAGTCGTGGTTCTTTACAGAGAGAAGCAGTCATAGAAGTTAAATGAGGATTTGTGGTTGGATAAGAAACAATGAAATATCTGATTTTTCTTTCTACAGATTCACCAAAGTTGTAGAGAAGGATTTGGGAGAATACGTAGGTCAAGGCATGGTGAGGACACGGATTCAGACGGTTGGGTTCCTTGAAGGCAAGAGGGAAGCAGAAAGGCCAGATCCACAAGCTCAAAACAGACCTCGCAATATTGAGAAAGTCTGTCAACATCTGCAATGAACTTGCAAGGGAATCAGGATTACCACACCTTCATTTCTCAACAGTGGAGGCTGAGGCCCAGAAGGGAAGTGACTTGACCAGGGTCACATACTAAGCTAGCTCTTCCAGACCAGCAAAGGCCCAAGCTGATCCTGGTGTGAACAATACGTGGGGGACAAGCTTCTATCACGTGCTTAAAATGGAGCCCCTGAATGCCAGGTCTTCTCACTCATAAGGCAGGGATCTGGGCACTATCCAAGAACTACACGGCAACTGTCATTTACATTTTCATCTAATTGTTGACTTGATTTCTCCCCACAAATGCCCAGCTGTTCTACATAGAAGGATGCAAGCCAATATACACTCTTATTCGGGTGCCCTATTCATATCGAACATTTTGCATTTCCATTTCCTACCAGCCTTAATGTGCAAGTTCAGCCCAAATTTAATGTTAACTAAAAAGAAAACTAAATTTTATAATTATCCCTCAAAAGATGAGATAAACGAGGAGATAAAAATACATTTTTAAAATGTAAACAGAGAAATAGAAGACAGTTTTGTAAATAGCACATAAGCTACCTCAGTAAATTTAAATGATCATCATCCTTATAACTAAAATAATATTATCTGACACCACATTTAACATGGAATTTCAGGAGATTTTCTCTAACATTATCAAAAACTAAAATGCCCAAAATCAATTCCCATAAAATGAAACTATTTTTTCCCTTTTTTTCTAAATTCCTTAAATACCGATAATTGTCCCTAGACATTTCTTTGTTTCTTAAGATAAATATCAGGACATGAAAATAAAAACTCAACTTCTATATACACTGAGCTTTCCTTTCTTTTGATGTCCGTGCACAAAGCATAAAAATGATATGGATGAAAAAAACTCACTCTAAGGAGGTTTTCATTATCTTTCATTGTAAAAGGGAAAATCATTAACAATAAAATTAAGGAAGAAAACTCCCATTTTTAAGCACGGACACAAATGTAATGCAAAAGTTCCCTCTTTATTACTAATACAGCTATATTCATTCAATGAGCTCAGAAAGCCTACGGTCTGCTGTGGAGGAGTGGGAGGAGGAGAGGAAAGCCAAAGCTAAAAATAACGGATGAATGAGTGATACACTAAAAAGATGACAAGTACCTTCCTGCCACACCCAATGCTGCTAGACAAATATTTTCTACCATTTAGTCATTCAATCACAGTATTTGGTCACTTGTCCATTACTAGGTTGGTCCTAAAAGATAACTAGTTTTTCCTTTTTAGTGGAGTAAGTTGAAAACTCCCAAGCAATATTTTCCAAGCACTAAAACCTTTCTCAAAAGAACTCATCCAGTAATAGATTACACTGAGGTTAACTAGTAGTCAGAACAACCAGCTAAGGTCTAGAGAATCAGTTTTGTTTTCTTTTTCCTTTGAGATATAATTCACTTGCCATAAAATTCACTCTGTTTTTTTTTTTAATGCTTTTTTTTGGTGAGGAAGATTGGCCCTGAGCTAACATCTGTTACCAATCTTCCTCTTCCGTTTTTTCCTCCCCAAGGCCCTGGTGCATAGTTGTATATCCTAGTTGTAGGTCATTCTAGTTCTTCTACATGGGACGCCCCCATAGCACGGCTTGATGAGCAGTGTGTAGGTCC